TTATAAAAATTAAATGATGTATGGTTTATCTATATTATTAGTGCTAAGAATAGGTATATGACTAAATATCTCAAGAGATTTTAATATATGAAGGCTGTTTTTTTATTTAAAGGGGAGAGGGGGGATTCAAACTTTGGGATTTTAAAACCTAGCAGCTTGTATGCACTGTGCATGACGATGAGGCAACAAACAAAAACTTAAGACTCTATATAGTCACTGTCGTTTTCTGTATAAAATAATAACCGTAAGATTTATTGGTTAACTTATCTGAAGAGATAAATTAACACCTGCATAACATTTCTATTTTTGGTTTTTTTTTAAAACGACTCCGAACTTTCATATGAAAATTGTCGGCAATAAATAATCTACTCCAACATGTAATTAATTAGGGTTATGTGGATGTAACAATGTTGTATATAAATATGGTATGGCCAGGGACGGACCTACCCTTGAACTAACCTGGGCTATGGCCTGGGTGACTTTCTTTTCACCAGGCCACAATATCATACACAATCCATCCAAAAAGAAAAAATAATGCTAAAAAAGTAACTTTCGTAACCAAAATGTGTCGATCTTGGCAATCCCCACTAGACTCAATCAACAAACTAACTACAAGTTTTGTTTAAATATTTAACACACTCCAATATTTATTGCTTCTATATATTGTTTTAATACTCTTTTATCAATTAATATACATTAATATTATATAAATTACAGTATTTATCAACTCGCAATATACTCATTTAAATCACTCAAACTCACTATGCAATAGATTTCTTTCAATTCCTTTTCTTATATAAATTTCTTTCAATTCTTTTGTGTTAAAATAATATGTAACATTTTCTAAAGTTTCACTAACAATTTCCATATTTTTCTCACAATTTTCATTTTTTATTATATCAAATTTGTATCGATATCAATAATTTGTTGGTATTTTCTAGTTTTTGGACCACCGATTTGAAACCATTGAAATTTAGTAGGTTTGTATGTAAGGTAAATTTAGCCCACCCAATTTTCAAATCCTGAGTTCGTCCCTAGGTATGACTAGCATTTTTTTACGAAATAATCTCATATATCATATGGAAGATACGTACACTCTAGTGTTATGTATATGATCGATGTATGCACCAAAATTAATAGCAGTGATATTCTTTTAAGATCAAAATCCAAAACTCTAACTAGTACTATTAGTGTTTGTTCGATGCTAAAGTCACAAAATTTGATCACCAAATAAACATGTTTGTAAAGTGTGTCCATATGCACGTCATTGTCATCCCTTAGGCAACATATATTTTCTATCGCAACTTCATGCTTACAAAATGTCATGTTCCAAATGAAGCCAAAAACAAAAGAGAGGAAAAAGAATCTTACAGGTTGTAGGTCCTCTCTCTTGAGCCAAAGATTAGCATGGAGCTTCTCAGAGAGCTTTGGAGCATAGTCCAATGGCGACTCAATGGAAACATCATAAACATTAGACATCAAAATCTTTGTCAAGTAACTCATGGCGTCATGAATGTTATTGTTTCCTTCTCTTCCATTATCTCCGCCAGACTTATCAGGCACCGCACCAAGAAAGCCGCTCTCGTACTTCAACGACTCCGCGGAGACTTTCTTCAACGGCCGAGTTTGGTGGAAGGGTTTGTGCGGTGCCTTTTCGAAAGGGTTGAGTGGTGTTGAAGGTTTGAGGGAAATCACTTCTGCTGGCTTTGTTAACACAGCAGTGATGGTGCATGGTTGGTGTCTAAGGTTCTTCTTTTGATTATTGTGCCGTGTTGTGAGAAGCAGAGATGAGGGTGAAGGAGCCAGGCAGGGCGTCTCCATAATTTAGAGAGAAAGAATGAGTCACAAGAAGAGACAGCTCTGCGAGTTTGAGTGTTAGGAATTGGGTCCATATAAAGATTTAATGACTAATAAAGTTGAGTTTAGAGCCACCTACCACGTCAACGTGTGTGTGAGAAATTCCCGTTCTTCTGTAATTTAGACTATCGCTTATATTAAAAAAACAACAATAACAATAATACTTTAATAAAGTTGAGTTTAGAGCCACCTACCACGTCAACGTGTGTGTGAGAAATTCCCGTTCTTCTGTAATTTAGACTATCGCTTATATTAAAAAAACAACAACAACAATAATACTTTGAGTTCAAAGTGAACTTTACTCAACTTACTAATTAGTGCCCAACAGAGGTAATACTTTCGGTTCACGAACAAACATATTTGATTCACATCAAAAGAAAAGCTTCACAGATTAGATAGGTTGGTTGCTAAGAGTCCAAACTACATTATGTCGTTGGTCAAAGGAAAATATATAAACATGTAAAACGAAATGAATGAAATTCATACGCTAGTTTTCTCAGTTAGACATTGCCAAATATATTGAAGCAGAGAAAATGAAAGTACGTGATTATTGTCGAGCGGGCTTACCTTACCACGTGCTGGTGGCCCTCCCCCTTCTCCCTGTTCGGCACCCAGTTTCGAAATTCCGGGATTTCTTTCCTCCAACAAAATAAGCTTGTGATTGTTGGAATCCAGGATATTTAGTCAAACAAAGTGTGTGCATTTGAGAGATAAGGATAGACGGTAGTAGTAGATGGGCGTAGAGAAAATATTATGTACAGTGATGGAGTTAGGATTTTTAAATTGGGGAGCCAATATTAAAATTTAATTGCAAATGGTGTTATTATCTTAAATGCTGCAAAGGCTGAGACAATAGAAGAGGAGTTCAAGCATCGCGTATGCAAAGGCAAACTTGGAAAGTTGTAAGTTTGGGCCCTAAGCTCGGATTTGGGCCCACTAATCATAGCTTTGCTATTATGTATGGGCTTTTTTCGGGCATTTAAGATCGTTTAGCAACTCAAAACTGCGTTTCAATATTTTGCTAGTTTTTGGAAACTTTTGTTAAGTTCCCTTTTTAATTTTTTTGGATTTCCTAGGGTTTGTAGGAGTATTTAAACCAATTTTAGCCCGTGACTAGGGCATTATGTTATCATTCTGAATTTAATAAACCTAAGGTTTTCTTATAACTGGTGGATTACAGGTGTTGGTTCTCTTTGTTTAATTGTTTGATTGCCGTTCATATTGTCACGTTGCGTCATTTAGCCTCATAAATAGGTCAAAAGATTGTATAATTTATGAGCGTGTCATTATTAGTTCTACAAAGATATTAATAGAATGAATGATTTTGTAATAACTTGCACCTTAAAAAATCTAACTTTCAACCGATTGAGTTCTGAGTATGGAACTGGTTTAAGAATAATTATAGAATATTACGGTAGTACAGCCACATGATTAAAAAAATCTAAATTTTGATAATTTAATCAAGTAATTGCAATTTGCAATTTTTTTATAATAAAAAAAATGGTGATTACATTTTATCAATATATATGTATGAAGATTGAGAAAGAAAATAAAGAAAATGAAGAATAAACAAAGAAACATGTCATGGATATTACATAAGTTAACACAATCCGTTTAATAAACAGATTATATAGGTATTTTAGCGGATTGGCGGGTTGACCTAAAAATAACCCAAAAATTTAATCATATGGATTGACTCGCTAATTTACCGTGCAGATTTCGAATCGTATATCAGGTTGTATCGGAAATTACCACCTCATATTTCCAATTCCCAAACGAACATATTCGATTCACGTCAACTTAAACAACCATTATTCTGTTCTTATTACGTTCTTGCATGATTGCATCTTCTTCTTCTTACTTATGCGCATTTTGATTTTTCATGTTATTTTAAATTAAAAGCCTATGTATATTACCGATTTGACCCTCCAAAAAAAAAGTATATACATGCACGTTGCTTGACCTCAATTTCACATGTAAGTTGGGCAAGTCATTGGTCTTCAAGGAAATAATAAAATAAGTGTACTCGACGTAAATTATTCTATACACAATCATGCATGATTTTTTTTGTAGTTAAGATCATGTATATCACATAAATAGAACAAGGCTTAAATGCAGTTTTGCCATGAATTATTATACCATAATTGTCAATTTGCACCTTCGATTATTTTTTCGGTCAATTAAGAATACGAATTTGTTAAAATAGTCAATTAGGTCCCTACTGTCAGATTTTGACTAATTTCATCCTTTTCTCCGTTACTCTTCCCACGTGATGCGCACACGACAAGTTTAAAAAGGGCAAAATCGCCACTTCACCCTTCACTTTGACTAAATCCCCCCAATTAGCTCTAAAGCCCCAATTTTGTAACCCAGACCAGTGGTGGTGCTCAAATGAGGCGCGAGACATCAAACCTCAAGTGAACATGGAGGAGCCGTGTTGGGGAGATACTGTAAATGTAGAAAAGAGGTGTTAATAATGACATCGTGGACATATTTAAACCCTGAAAGACTGTTCTATGTTTGTGGCACACAAGGGGTGAGTTTTATGATGCTTTTGGTTATTTGAATTTTTTCTTTTCTTTTATCCAATTCCATGACTGATGCATAGAGGTTGAAAGTATGATTTGTGAGAGTGGGCGGACCCAAAAATGTGCAATCGTTCCAAGCATATCATTCTTGGGTTGTTAAGGTCTATTAGAACCATGGAGGAGGGACTTCAGTTGCAGAGAGCTAAAGTAAAGAAGATTAGGTTTTAGTTTGGCAGCTGCTTGATTGTGATGATAATTTTGGGCATTCCTGTGTTATCGACACTAAATTGCAGGGATGGGAAACAACTGAAATTGGAATTAATGTGATGTAAGGGTTTAAGGGCACGTATTTTGTGGTTTTGGGTATGTATATGTGTTAGTGGTGTTGTTGGGTTTTTGTATCTATTTTTTGACGCCATTTCCTGTATAAAAAATTTGGCTAGCTCGGAATGAAGTGGTGCAATTTGAAACAATTTGATGTACTCATAGCAATTGGGCATGAATAAATCTGACCATTTGGATATCACTTCGAAAAGAAGTAATGAGTTTGCATTTAACTAATTGAAGTACAAAAGTGCATACCATATCATGGGTGCTTAACCATAGCATAATTGCATGACCCACTCTCATTCAAGGGTTCTTCCATTATCTTTACAATCCTTGGTCCAACCTTCTGAGTCCACTGCATTTCTCTTTGCCTTGCCATTCTCAACATTAAATAACATCTTAATCTCTTTAGCATTGTCAATATTGGTTTGTCCATAACTTCTAAAATAGCATAATTGAAACACTAACATAAATTATTGAGCAACATACCACACTTTGGCCCAGTTTTGAAATGTGATCTGCTCCAATGGCTTGCAGGCCTATCTTCCAGCCATTTGTAAGCTTCTCCAGACAAATCCTTTATCTTCTCCATCTCTGCTTCCCACCACGGAACTTTAGTGGCTCTAGCTACAGCTCATAGTCTCTGTTTCAAAGCCAAACTATCATGACCAGATGCCCTGAAGTTTGCATGATGCCTGACACAATGTATGTGCTCAGCAACTGGCACTACAAAAGCTTCACCGAACCAGTCATCATTGACAATCTCTTCATCACCCTCATAACCATATACATTTCCATCATCATCTGTCTCTAAATTCACATCCACATCTACAAAACCCTCACCACCCACATCAACATGTTCAACGGCAGGTTATTGTTTACCTTTGTTGCCTTGTGCTGCACCACTTGGAACAGAAGCTTAGCTATCTAATGTATGCCCTTGTTGTGAGACGTTAGTAATGTATATCACAACTAGTTGTCCTGAGGAATGGTGCTTCACAAACTCAAGATAATCTTCGTCTGTGATAATTTGAACCCAAAACCGACATAAAAGGGATCGCTGAAGAAAAAAAAACTCTCTTTTTCATCGATTCATACAAACATGATGGTATAATATTCGTCAAAACTCATGAGGTGGGGAGAAGTTAGGAAGTAGACACTTACAGTTCTTCGGATGCTCTCCACCATCTCATAGGACAACAGACATCTCCTCGAACAATCGCTCTAAAAGTAGATAAGAATATTTCTGTATTATCCCCCAAATTTGAAATGAATCTTCACTCTGCCCAATTAGTTTCAGCAATCATATCGAAACCTCTCAAACCTGAAGTCGCATTTACCTGCTCTTGAAACCCTAAAACACGATTTTGCCCAAATGACGCGATCTCGGTGGTTTTGTGTAATTTAGTTGAAGTGAAGGGTGAAGTGGCGATTTTGCCCTTCTTAACGCGTGTGCATTACATGGGAGGAATAACTGAGAAATTGAAGAAATCAGTCAAAATCTGACGGTAGGGACCTAATTAACTATTTTTAACAAATTCGTATCCTTAATTTACCAAAAAATAATTAAGGATGTGAATTGACAATTATGGTATAATTGAGGGGACAAAACCGCTATTTTCCCATAAAATAATGAAAAATATCCCAACTAGCATGTCCAAAAACAGACCGGACTTGGGCATAAGACGACCCCCAAAAGCCTTTAATTAAAAATATCCCAACTAGCATGCAAAAAGGACTAAAAAAAACTGCACATCACTTTAGTTTTCCAAAATCTATGTTTTAAAATGACCATTGCACATCAGTCAATACAAGGTGGTGAGAGGTACATGAACATTGAAGCAATCCATGCCATTAATGTTTTGTTTGTGGTGTGAGGGTCTGCAACTCAGCATATTAAAATGCAATGAATTTGGCATTACTGATTTAAGAATTAATCTTTTGGGACTCCAGGGTTTGGAAATAGGATCTAATTCCCCTCCTCTATTACTTTTGGTATCACTTCAACTTTTCTTACTTTTAAATTCTCTTATTTTTAATGTTATCTTTAATTATCATTTTATTATCTTTTTTTTTTTTTTTTAAAGATTCATAAGTTTTTGTGTTGTTTAATTCACTTTCCCGATATGCAAGAGTTCGAATCCCCCTCTTCGTAATTTAGATTAATTTCGTAATTTAGATTAGTTTAGAATAGAATATCTTTTGATACTTCCCCATCTCTCTTCTTGGTCCTTCACTCCCATAATTATATCATTTTCATAATTATCCAAACTTAGGAATTTGATTTTATAAACTGAAAGGCCATTTGCGCCAAGAAAAGAGTGGTTGTTTCTCTCTCCTCTCCAACTTTCCACCTTTTTTTCTTAATTTCATTTGGGTCAGCTTTACTCTCTTAACATCTTCAGCTGATTTCAGAAAACAAAAGTGTCATTTTCATGTGAACATACTGAAGAAAGAAAAATAGATTGTGATTGGAAAAGTGGATAAACAAAGATGAAGACATTGCACCAGAGAAGAGAAAGTGACAAACGTACGTGACAACAAAAGAAAAAAAGAAAAAAGAGGGAGAGAGAGAGATAAGAAAGATGGCTTGAAATTTTTTTGGGAAAACTTTGGTTTGGCGAGATGAGATCCGAAAAAATGGGGAGGAGAGAACTAAAAAAACGGATTGGGATTTTTTGGCTTTAAAATGGAGACAATATGATATATGGAAGATGAAAACAACGAGAGAGACTGCACAGGAGGTGAAGAACCAAAAGAAAAAAAAATATTAGAAAAACATATGATTATAGAAAGTGATAACGATGAGGTACAAAGGGTGAGTTTTTTGCCTTATTTTTTAATACAAGCAATATAGGGGAAGGGGGAACTGAAATTAGGACCTCTGGTACAGGAGTAGCATCTACATTTAGCTCATTGCGAGTTTTTATTTATTTATTTTGATACAAGTGATAATCTTCTTTTTTGGGGTATGAATACAAATGATAGTCTAAACTACTCTTAAACTAATCTAATATAGAGGTAAGGGGATTCAAACTTGGGTGTAAGGAGGCAGCCTCACTGCTCAGGCTAACTATGTAGTTTCCACGTTAAAATTTGTAATCAAATACCCTCAAAATTATAGGCCCATTTAGAGTCGGCCCATTTAATAAACGGGACAAGCCGAGTCCGCCCATTTATAAACATCATTAAGTCCAACCTGAGCACACAACCCTAGCCCATATAGGATCGAGTCAGGGCGATATGGGTCCACACCAAGCTCAACTTATATATTACATTTTTTTTGTTCATGACTTTTCTTTAAGCGCATTTAAATATAAAAGGCTAGACTATTGTTCGAGTTTCAAAAATTAAGACTTGCAAAATAAAATCATTATTTTCTTTATAAAAAAAAATTCATTGATTTTTAAATTAAATTAGTAGAGAAATATATCAATATAATAATATTATGCACTACTTTTCTCTAAAACAAATATAATTTAATATCTGGCACAACCACGATGAACCTCAGGCTAAATTATCTCGTCCCGACCCACCTAAAGATACAAGTCGTGTCGTGTCATGCCATATCTATCGGTTGGCCCGATTCGTTTGACACCTCTGCTCAAAATCAGGAATGGGATCAACTAGAAGAAGTAGTTGATCTGATTCCAATTCCTTAATTAACCCATCTAAGTTCCCCAATTCATGACATCCCCCACTCCCATTAAAGGTGTATTCAATTTAGATTTTAAAAGAGTTATAAAGTTGATGAAGTTTAATTGAATTTAATTGAGTTTGACTGAATTCTACAAACTCCACATAGTTTTTGACTAAATTCGTGTATAGATTTTAACTGAGTTTGTTAGAGTTTTATTATTGATTTTAATGGAGTTTATAGCACTCAAAGAACAAAGGATTTAGGGGTGATGACGGTGGTGGTGATGGTGGTTTGTGGGTGATGGTAGGGGAGGTCGTGGTGGAGGAGGTGGGGGTAGTAGTGGCGGTGGCGGTGGGAGTGAGATGGTGGTGGCGGTGACGGTGGTGGCTGTGATGGTGATGATGCTAGCGGTGGCTGTTGTGGTGATAGTGGGGGTGGTACTGGTGGTGGCGGTGGGGTTAAGGGTGGTGGTGGATGTGCTAGCGGTGGCGGTGGCAGTGGCAGTGGCAATGATGGTAATGGTGATGGTGCTGGCGGTGGTGGTGGTAGTGGTGACAATTGGGGCTGATAGTGGGGGCGGTGGTGGGTGGTGATAGAGGCGTGCTGGTGCTGGGGGGTGGCGGCGATGGTTGTGGTTGTGGTAGTGGCAGCGATGACAATGATTGCGGTGGTGGTGGTGATGGTGGCGGCAGCAATGGTGATAGCCATGATAAGATGGTGATAGTAGAAGTGGTAAAATCATATATTGAGAATAAAAATAATATATCTATCAAAATCTTTGGAGAAAAACAAAGATTTGTCATGACCTAAAATTAGGCTATAATCAAACGAAATCCACCACTTTTAGTATTTCCTTTAAAATCAATGAGTTTTTGAATACACCCAAACTTTTTCTGAAATCTTTTAAAGTCGTTATTGAATACATCTAAATTTGAATAGAGTTTAAAAAGTCTTAATAGAATACACCTAAAATTGTAGACTTCTGTAAATTGTGATTGAATACACCTAACTTTTAAACTTCTTTAAAATCTTTTAAAATCTAAATTGAATACATCCCGCTTAATTAAACATGTCATTAGTATTTTGTGAATCATAATAAGGGGTTTCTACACACACAAAAATTACAAGATGTACTACATTTGAATATAAAGAAAGAAAAAATTGTTTACAACGAGATAGGCTCTTGTTATCGCTCTTTTTTATTTATTGTGTAGCTCTTATTGTCATATGATTACAGGATGAGAGGAAAACGCCAATTTGAATATTGGGTATCCCAAGCAGTATCAAAATACTTCAATTTTAGCTCCTAATTCCACACTGCATTCCCATTTACCTTACCCCATCTTACCAAGAGTGTTTTTTTTTTTCTTCCCAAAGCCAAGCCTTACTCTAAAGTGCTAAGTCTGACAGTTATGGCAGTTAAGATAGTTGTCCATAACATAGCTGCTCTCTGTTTTTGGTACTTGTCTTCATATGCTTTGTGTGCCTCTCATTGCCTAATTGTAAAGGTGATCATTTTTTACTTACAGGTTACAGCTGAAGATTTATTCTCTCAGACATTCTCATAATATCTGAGTAAATCCTATCACCTCCAATATGTGCACCAGTTGCTCCGGCAGAAACCCGTAGAACATCTTCAATTAGTGCAACGTTTCCCATGATGTCAACATGTGCACCACTCTCTATACCCCTTCCCTCAAGCAAACTAGCCGGTGGCTTGTGCCGGTACTCCCTTATGTAGGTAGCAGTACCAGATGGGTTGAACCTGGTTCTTCCTCTCCACCCTTTGGCGCACATGAGTCCAGCACTCAATACAGGCACACTGTCATCGCCATCCACAAAATACACTCCATTTTTCAGACAGCTGCCTTCCTCTCCATCTGCTGAGCCATCAATCCGAAATGGAATGCTCTTGCACTTGTCAGAAGGAGACATCTTGTATACATATGATCTTTCGGTGGGGATTCCAACACCATATAAGGAGTATATTTCCATATCTGGAGCAACTGGTAGCCTAAAGCGGGTATTCAAATTAATTATTAATGCCATTAAGTTCAATGGAACCGAAAAACAAGCAAATGAAAGGTGCAGAAGGAAAATGGTTTGAGAAACATTGCTTGGCAGCATACATTCCATAATGGAAGCAGTAGTTGCTTTAGTACTTGTGATTCACTTGATTCAAAATGTTGGTAACAAATTGGAGACTGGACCATAATAGAATCATTTGGAAGCAAAATGTGGTGTTTGCAAGAGAAAAAGAAGGGAGATGAAAAGAAGTTCTCAACACCAAGGAATTAGTATTAGTTGTAGAAATTAAGTGCAAAATTCTAAATTGTGTGTTTTAGTTTCTGATAGCTATGCATAGTTTTTGAAAAATCAATTAGAAATAACTAATTAAATTTATTCTCTCAGATAGGTTGTCTATGCTATACAAAGAAGAGTAGGCATTGGTCAGAAAAGTGAAATTCTATCAGAACAGTGCTGAACGATACGTATGCTTACTTGGTCTCAAGTGGATTGGACCAATACTTGTAATGGGCATATTTGGGATCCTCAAGATTACCAGCTATCCCATGAGAGAAATGAGCCTCAGCCCGTTGCATCATTTTTGGAGCCACAAAGCGCAGTAGATCAAAAAGAGTTTGAGCTGTGTAAGCCTTATTTTCTGTAATTTTTCTGATGCTTTCCCTGCTTAGCTCATCATATTCAGTCCACACCTCTCCACATGAAGATGTGAAATTTGTGGCAGAATCTTTGTGCAGAAGATCCTGTTAAGCAAATTATTAATATCATCCCTATTAAGGAAGACCACCATACTAATGTATAGACTGAAATGATAGTTTCTCAACAACAACAAAAATATTGAAATGATCGATCAGAAAGCAATGGTATTAAGTTGGGCATATGTTAGCCTGTGCTGTATATGAAAGTGGAATGCCCGTCAATGACTTTTCAAGTTTTAAAGTAATACAAAAAATTCATGCATTTGCTGTTTATCTTGTTTTTAGTTCGGGGGGTCTTCGTCCTGGCATGTGTCTATATGTTTAGTTCAAGGGGAACTTCATGCAGAAACTGTTTTTTTTAATTTAATTTGGTCTGCTCTGTTAATAGAAAGCATGCTGAAAAATGGTTCTTCAAAGTAAATGCATCAAGATGTTTTTCAAGTGTGAAGTTTGGTAATCAAATGTTCTACCCTTTTTATCCCAGAAAAAAGTTAACCTAAGATAACTAATAATATCTATTCTGAATGCACTACAGAAAATAAATCAGGACTTTTAAGAGAACATGCAAATGGAGGATCTACAAGTATCCACTTACTAGAGTATGATTTGTGTAAGAGGATGTTTCTAGATTCAACCTCAAGGTTGGATGGCATCAAATTAATTCTTGATAACAGAGTTCTATACGTTTCTCCTTTTGTAGGAGAGTTGTGTATTATCAGTTGGAAGAAAGGAGATGAATAAATAAAAAATATAGATTGATTTTACTGCCACAAACAGTCATTTGAATCATTTGTGAAGAATGGCAGATAGGTTCAATTCACATGAGACTGCCAAACTTCCAATAAAAAAATATTTAGAAGGACAATAATCACGTCATTAGAAGATATCTTCATGTCAATTCATTGGAAAAAAAAAAAGAAGAAAAATATTAAAAGGGCCACAGGCATCAAAGTAAAAGACAAAAAATATTAAAAGGGCCACCGGCATCAAAGTTTTTGTCATAGTTGCATCACCTTAGCTGTTTAAGTATCTTAGCTGCACCCCTGTGTGGAATAATTGGTTATGAATTTCAACAGAACAACAGAGAATTAAAGAAGAGTACCTTGAAATCATGCCTAGGAAGCTGTGGAGAAGATATTTGTGATGTTTCCTTGCCAAAAGAGATTATTCTTCCATACTTCACAGGTTCTTTCACTTGGAAAACTCTATTTTCATCACAGTTGTTGAAATTATTGTCACCTGATGTCTGTAGATATCCTTTCTTTGCCAGGTCACAGCTATGCCCATCTTCAGGAGACCAGTCCAAATTGCCCCAGATGGCATCTCCACCTTTTGGCAATAAGGAAACTATGGAATCCCAGGTTCGAGACGCCCGCATGACGTGCTCAAGGGTTTGAAGCTGGAGAATTTCAGAATCTAAAACACCAGGATCCATAGCTCTGCAAGGGCCAACAGTCAATTCCATCATGCAGTGGTCATATTGTCAAATTTCTCATAGGGCTTTGAAAAACTCTAAGAATTTGAACACATCATATCTTAGACCACATACATTACTAAATAATTATCCACATAAGGGCTAGTATCTTATATTGTGTAACACAATTTGCAATATCAGAATGCCAGTTCACATGAGGGATAGATTGCAAAGGCAAACCTGATATATGCGACATCTTTACCCTCAGCAGAAAATATATTACTAACGGCTTTTGGAACACCAAGAAATGCTGGACCGATATTCATGATTGCTTTGATGTGCTTGGCACACCAACTTGGACCACCACCACCTCCCATAGGAGGAGGTGATTCAACCCATTTCATGAAGTGGAGAAAATAAATTACACCCATAGAATGAGGTACCACCACCACTTTCTTATGGCCATTGGTTACGTACATAAGCTCAATTTTACTCTTCAATCTTGTAAGAGCTTGGTCTCGAATCTGCTTTTTCCCAATTAAAAAACGTATTAGTGGGACTCAGCTTAGATTTTTCAGCTTTGTAGAATGGAGCATATGAAGAGTGGGAAATGGAAAGACATATTTGGACACGAGAACGAAAAGATCAATTCTGCTTCATATAGTGTATGGAAAAAGAAAAATTTAAAACAGTATTGAATTAAAAATATGACAAATGGAACAACAATGCATTCAATAAACACATGAATTTGGAGTTCTGAAAGAAAATAAGCCATTGAGATCACACACAAAAAATTAATCATCTATGATAATAATAAACGAAGTATGCTGACGATGATTCAATACAGGCTTTGTACAAACTCGACTCAGCATATGTATGCAGCGAAGCTGCAGGAGAACAATTTTTACCTCTGTGTTTTGGAAAGATAGCCTCCAATCATACGCAGCCATATGCATATTCTTCCCTTCATAACCAATTTTTGCCAAATTTTCAATGAGAACAGCCCAAACAAAGTAGCCAGGAGCAAAATAGTCAGCTGCAACGAGTCCTGGAACTGCTCTGACTCGAATTCCTGGAGGGTCAAGCCCTGTTTCATTGTGTAGAGATAGGTGCTCCAACCAACACAAGGGCCTAATTTGCAATAAGATTAAAAACCATCTAAAAACACTAACTGTAATTCAATTATGAAGACAAACAAACCTTTTGAAGATCTCTGTGAAACCGCCACCCCAAAGACGCTTCCTGAAAAGTCCTTCAGCACAAGGCCTCCCTTCCCAAAGCTCAAGGCCACCAGTTACAATGCCAGGCACCAAAACAACAGGGTGAAGAGGTGTCAACCCTTCAGCTTTAAGCCTTGTCCCAGGTGACTCTGGCACTGGAAAACCAGTCAATGTAGCTGGCAAGCTGTGATACAAAAACAAGAGAACCCAGCAAGTTGTGCACATGTACCCAATTACCCAACAGCAGCTATCTATGCACCTCCATTCTCTGTGTTGCTTATTGTTCTTGTTTTTCCTCTGCTTCTTCTCTAATAAATTCTCAATCTTGGAACCAACACCACCCTCATCTCTATTTTCAATTTTGGGGGTTTCAAAAGGTTGAAATTTTAAAGAAGAGCAAGGCTCAACATAGCACAGCTTGCGAAAACGAAGAATGGAAGCCATGGGTGACCAAGATGGCTGAAGACTCAATACAATGAACAAGAACAAGAGCAACCCATCAAGGGAAAACGAGAGATTGAGGCACAGAGTGAGGCCCTGGTGGTGAATTATAGAGCAAAACAAGGTTATGGGCTTACACGGCCGCTATGAAAAAGCTAACGCCACGTGGTGAAGAAGGAGATATGGGTTTAGTCTGTCCTCCTTGCACACACCAGAAACAAACAAACCCAAAAGAAAACCAAGAAGAAAATTTGGGTTTTTTTCCCTTCTGCCACAAAATACAGTGAGAGTGATCAACAGGGGTTTTGGAGAAAATGGCTATGTGATGAATCCCACACCTAAATCTGTTTGGTTTTTCACACAGACACTTGTGCTGGCTTTTGCTTGCCGAGCTTTATCAGCTGTCATCATTTTAGGCATAGACGTTTGCTTCTTTGCTTTTGACGTGGATGGTTTTTTTTTTTTTTTTGGTCTTTTGCTACACCTCTGAGGACTGAGGACTGGAAAACAGGGTCAGGGGAAAGGATAGCCCTTTTCTGGGTTTGGTCTGAAATGTAATTCCCGAGGTCGGCAGCGAGGTAGCGTTCTGTTTGGAGAGAGTGAGTGGAGCTGAGAGAGACAGCGAGAGACGTCTACAAAAAGAGAGAAAACAGAGAGAATCCAAAGAAGAATGGGTGGGTGGGCATATCATAAAATTGATGGTACACCCCCAAAATCATATGGAGAAATTAGCGCGCACTACAAAAAACACAGACCCAAATTTTCATACCAAAATTTCTGTATGACTAGTATATATGTATGTATTTAGAGAGTTGTGCGTGTTTGTGTTTGTGTTTGTGGGGAGGAAGGCACAATGGTCAAGGAGATTGGGGTCTGAATTATTACGAGTATATTCTTCTTTGTAGTATTGTCTGGATCCAGGGGTTTGCTAGCTTTGCAGGTGAGGAACAATTTCTGCAGAGAAGAATCATATCAGTAGGGCCATAGAAGGCTTGAATTCTATCCTCCTTTTTTGTCTGACTTGGATTCTACCGGTTGTGTTCAGTCGAGCCTTCTTGTCAATGGAAAAGTTTAATTTTGTTACCCAGAAAAGAAGAAGACTTTATGTACATTTGCCTCCTGCTTTCTCTTGGGCTTCTATTTGTATTTTGTTTTCTTTCTATTTTCTGTTTGGGCCTTGTGTTGAAACATATTTTTTGGATTTGGATTCATCTAACAAATGTGAATTTTGGAACTTAGTTTTTTTTAACATGTTCAAAAAGTTCAGAAAGTTTAGCTCTTTTCAATCCTTGCTTATTAAGAAACATTTTAGTGTTCAGTTTCCAGTGCTTTTTATGTGTAATTTCCTTTGTATTTTTCTCTTTTTCTAATGTTCTCTATTGACCCCAAAAAAAAAATGATAGAAAAAGGTATGTAGGGAGTCAAATCACCATATATATAAAGAATTTAGCAGAACTTTTAAGTTTTTTATAGGAGAAGTGTTACATAATTTAGTAACACTTACGTAAGGGGATAGCACTATTTTGCTATTTTCGGCCAATCACGATATGTTATGCGTGATAACTTTTTTACATGGCAATGTGGGATTTGTTGGGAATAACAAAACAGTGTTATCTCCATCTCATACAAAGTTTTTTGAGCTTTTAGAGGCAAAATCGTAACACATACACGTAGACATGACATGACACCCCACCGAAAATTCATGCATCAGATATAAAGAATTAAAGAAGACTTATGAAGCTTAATCATAAAATAAATAAAATAAAAAGACTTATGAAGTTTTTACACTCCAAATCTTTAGGCCATCTCCAGCCATAGGGCTAAATGTAGTCCAAGTCTAAAAATTTAGCCCCCCAAAATATTAATTTCTTAAAGAATAGTGCAGGGCTAAATTTTTCCATCTCCAGCCATGCAGGACTATATTTTAGGGTCCTTCATATTTTATTATTTTGAGAAAAACTATGGTACAATACTTATACGTTCCACAACTACATATTGTTTAATTTAATTAAACTACTATTTAGAGACAATATTCCATAAATTTTTGGGCTATGATTTTCGAGTGACACATGAAGACATTTAAACAACACCAAACATTTAAAAACGTTAAGACATTTATAAAAAAAATTTAAAAAAAGGATGGGTTTCAATGTTTCAGCTCCAACGGTCATCAACAAGAATTTTTTATAATTTTTTTTTAAACAACACTTGAAAGATTTGAAAAGCTGACCACATTTATTATTTTAAATAAAATAAAAAATAAAAAAGGGGAGTGGGTAGGTCTGACCTCCGATGGTCATTTACCAACAATTTTTTATACTTTTTTTCTCATACACTACGAATTTGAATATTCAAAAAGGTCCAGCATGCTTTAATGGGGTTGTTGAAAAGCACATGTATGGGTCCCACTAGAAATTTGGCCTAGCCCAAAGCTGGGCTATATGTGGCCTGGTTGGAGGGCTAAAGGGCCAAATGTGGCCCTTCAAATTTAGCCAAAATTTTGTTTAGCTCATGACTGGAGATGGTTTTTGTATTATTTTAGGGTTATATTTGGGATAACGCCCATGGTTAGAGATGGCCTTAATATCCACACACACACCTACCAAAAATCATGCATCTAAAGATTTCTTTGGTCAAACATATATGTCTAGTCGCATATGGGAGAGCATAGAAAGCTTGAAAATCTTTTTCCTTTTTTTTATCCTTTTCTAGTCAAGAAGAAAGCTTGGAATTTACACGCAGATGTAGTTGCCCAGAAATTTGTGTGACAAAATTGAAAAAAACAAGGGAGGGTATATATCTTTACTTATGTAGCTGCCATGACTTATTTCTTGTGACAACTTGATGACTCAAATGACTCTTAGCTTCCTTGCCATCCTCTTTTTCTCTTACTTTGCATCTACAAAACAAATCATGCATGCCACCATATTGAGAAGAGCTCTCCCATGTCCTTCTCCCTAACTCTTTGTTCTCCTCCTTTAAATTGGACTTCCACGGCCAACTGTTGCTATTGGGAGGGTATCACTTGCAATCAAGATGGTTGGGTTACCCATTTACACTTACCCTCCAAGGGGCTTAAAGGAATCATTCATCCCTCACTTGGAAATCTTACACATCTCACCCACTTAAACCTTTCCCACGTTTTACTTTACTTAACTTCACATGAAATCGGATTCTTCTTGCCCTTGAACCGTCTTGAGATCCTCGATTTGAGCTATAACATTCTTTCTGGAGAGCTTCCACTTTCTCTACCATCTAATATCCAAATTGTGGATTTATCCACCAATTACTTCCATGGCGTGATTCCATCTTCATTCTTCCAACAAGCTAGGAATTTGACTAGTTTCAAATTTCAATGTAAGCAACAATACATTCTCAGGGCCTATCCCATCCTTTATTTGTCTCCATTATTCTCCCTTCGTGAAGTTATTGGATTTTTCCTTCAATAAATTCAATGGCAATATTTCTCACGGATTAGGTGATTGTTCCACACTATAGGTTTTTCGTGCTCGTTACAATAACCTCTCAGGATTACCTGTGAATTTGCTTCATGGAACCATTAGTGATAGAATTGTCAACCTCACCAACCTTGCAATCCTTAACCTCTACTATAACCAATTAAGTGGTATGTTGCCTTTCCATATTGGAAATCTCTCTAAGTTGAAACTCATCCTCCTTCATTTCAACTATCTTGAAGGTTATTTGCCCCCAACTTTGATGAATTGCATAAACCTCATAGAACTACATCTTGGAGACAACAACTTGGAGGGAGATATCTCGGAATTTAATTTCTCCAAACTTAGTCAACTTAGTAAGCTTAACCTACGGAGTAACAACTTCACTGGCATCTTTCAAGTGAGCCTTTACTCATGCAAGTACCTGAAAGCAATTTGATTGAGCTTAAACGATGTGGAGGGACAAATACAACCTCAAATTCTTTCATTGAAATCTTTGTCCTTCCTTTCATCTAGTGGCAACAAATAGACCAACATCACAAGGGCAATGAAGATATTGATGCATTGCGAAAGCCTCATATTCATTAACATTTTCTTATGGCTTTATAGGTGAGGAAATTCCAAGTTCCAACTGATGTTGGCCAGGTTGATTTTGATGGATTAAAAAATCTTCGAATATTGTCTTTGAGTTGTTGTGAGCTCACTGGTCAAATACCTTTATGGTTGTCTAAGCTCCAAAATCTAGAGATCTTAAATCCAGATTTTAATAGACTCATAGAATCAATTCCTAGTTGGTTGGGGACTCTTCCAAGGCTCTTTTATATCAACTTAGGCTCTAACTTCATTTCAGGTGAATTTTCAAAGCAACTTTGTGGACTAGAAATGTTGCTATTTGAACAAACTGCAGCTCAAGTTGACCATAATTACTGTTTACCCGTTTTGACGTAGTTCATGTGGTGGTAAGCTAAAGTTCCCCATTGACTTGAAAACCATCGGGGGTCAACAAATCAACTTTCTTTTATGTTTGAGCGTGTCATTGTTCGCAGTTAAAAACCCTAATAGACTGTAAAATATAATAACTTGGCTCAAGTTATTGACTTTGATCAAGTGATTGTGAATTTGGGTGCGGAATATCTCCCAAGTAAGTTCTTTTCTTGCCTCAGACGGGTGAGGATTTTATAATTTCTCACAGTAAAATTAGTAATTTTAGCCAAAAATAAGTGTTTGACAAATAAAACAAACGAGTTCAAGGAGAACTGTTTATTATACATGAAATGAAAGGAACTACCAAGTCTGGGAAGACATCAGAACATTGGACTTTGATTTCTGCTTGGATTGTCATCTGTGACTTAGGATGGACTGGATTTATCTGTACTGAGATTGCACGTCAGCACCTTCAACACCTTCAACTAATAAAGATTAGCTGAAAATCGATACCAATGTTGAAATTGGCATAGCTATAATTAGTTTGAGCCATGAAGAGGCTTGACAAATGGGCAGAATTGAGAGTTTGCGTCCGTTCTGTCTATTATGGGGACTATCTGAATGAGATTAAGACATGCTAGTTTCTCTGTTATGGTTGAACCGAAATTTCTCCACTCTGGATTAGATTGGAAGTGGCTAGATTGGCAGCTGCTAGCCTAGAATTACACTTCAG